GAATTCTGGATTAAAAGATCGTCATACTGCGTCATCCACGTGACTTCATTATGACTGGTCAATTGCTCCGTTGACAACGTAAATACTTTAATTGTGAAAAATTTAGATACTGATCTAGAGATTGTAGAAGTAATCAACGTATAAATAATATAAATAATCAATCAAATATTAAATATTTTAATTGTAAGAAATTTGGCTATTTTGGTAGAAATTGTAGAAATTCAAATAACAATTGAGATTAAAATTTCCAAAATAATAATAATAGTAATAATAACAGAAATCATAATCACAGTAATAGCAAAAACAGGAACTATAGGAATAATAATAATAATAATAATAATAATAATTAAAGATAGCGTTACAATTAGTTACAACTGGTGATAAATAATATTACATAGTTATAACTAGTTATAATACTATCTTTAATAATAATAATAATAATAATAATAATAACTAACAGCATTTAAACTAGAAGTTACACCTCTTAAGGGTGAATATGCAAATAAATTAAAGCCTCTAAAAGTGAAGGAAAAGAAGAATCTAAAGAAATATTTAAAGTGAAATAAAAATAAAAGAAATAAATTTAATAAAGTACCTTATGTATGTAGAGGAAGGAATTCAAAATTGCAATTTAGAGGATCATATAAAAACAAAATAATTATTACAGTTGTGAAGAATATACTATTATAATCATATTGTATATACAAATTGTAATAAAATTGCTAAAGGAATAGCAGCATGATATGAAAGTAAGAAAGTAAAATGGAAGGATCCATTAATAAATAAAAGTATTTTTAATAAAAACCAACTAATTAAACCAGTAGATCTCTAACAATAAGGAGAAATTACTATTAAAAAAAGATTAAAGTATGTATTAGGAATTTTATATGATTATAAAAGAATTTATCTTTTAAAATAAATTGATCTAAATAAAGAAATGTATAATTTATAACAAATAGTCAGTAGAAAATTAAACTAAGAGAATCATTAATAAGGGCTATGATCTAAGAAATTGATGAAAAAACTGGAATACAATTAGTTGAAGACTGCTTAGAATATATTTTAAATGATTCTATATATAATTATGACATATATAAAATAAAGCTAAACAAAGAAATATCTCAATATACTGAATCTATCAAACACAGTAATTGGCAATATTTTGAGTTTGATAAATATTTATAAATGGTTGGATTAAATAAATTAATACTAACATATAATAAATATGAGGAACTTTTTATAACTAAATTAAAGAAACAAATTGTTACTAGTCATACAGCACATGATGAATATACAGTATTAAGGATACTCTATTTATTGAAGCTTATGTAAAAAAATATTTTATAAATGCTCTAGTCGATACTGGATCTGTAAAAAGTATTATTACCCAGTAGTATATTAAATAGATCAATAGAAAAATTAATGAATTTGCAAAAATAAAATTATAAAAGTAAATGAAAAAACTATGATGCCTTTGGAAATAATTAAGAAATTCAAATAAATAGAATAATAAAAAGATTTAACTGTACTATAGAAGAATATTTAGTTAAATTAGTATATGATCAAGAAAATGAATAAAATACTTATATTTTATCAGTATTATTTGCCTATTGAATAATGAAATATAAAAGTACAGAATACACTTTATTTTATCTTATGTATAGATGGCAAATAATTCTACTAATAGATTTATAATTAAATTCTATTGAAACTGATAAGCAAAATATTGATAATACTCTAATGAATAGATTAACAAATTTAATTGACAAATTAGAATAGGTTAAGTAGGATATACTCAATAATATGAATCAAACATAAGAGCAATAAAAGATTAGCATAATGATCAATGAGTATTAAAAAGATTAAAAATTAAAGAAAAAGTCCTAGTGAAGAAAATATGAAAACAACAAGACATGTCAGTTAAATTAGAAACTTAATAAATTGGTCCTTATTATATTTATAATATAATTGGTTTTAATAATTACAAATTAAAATTACTGAATAGATAAATATTTAAAGAAATAATCATGGTGATCGGCTGAAGAAATATAACAAATAGAAAATTGAACCAATAATAATTATTACTTAAATTAGATACTAATTTTAATATACTCCTGATAATTAATAATAATAATATAAATAGATTTAATTTTTATTAAAAGAAATAATGAGAAAAAATGTTATAAGAATATCAATAAATATATTTTGATTTAGTCTATTTAATGTAATATTATCATCTTTGCTTAATATATCCTTTTAAGATCTAAATATGAAGATAAAAACATTATTTCAATACATATAATGATAAATAGTCACTAGAAAAAAAAAGAAATTATTAATTTATCTTTATTATATAGGAGAAATAATTGATAAAAAAATATTTTACAAAAAGATTTGAAATTATTAAAGTATTATTATACTACAGCAAAATGATTGTTCCTTATTTTTGAAGATAATATTAAATAAATTATGAGAACGTAATATGTTAATATTTGAATAATAAAAAGATTTAAAATTGACGAACTTAATGAATTAATTTAATGGAACTTAAAATTTAAAAGGGTCAGATCTTGAAATGGAAATACAAAATTACTAAAATTAAAATTTAGAAGTTAATATCATATGATAAAAATAAAAACATATATATTATTTTATGATCATTATTTTATTGGAAAATTTTATAGTTTAAAGAATAAAAGCGTAATAATATGCAGAATTTTATTAATAATTTTAGAAAAAAGAAAATACATGAGATTCAGAAAATATAGAAAAGATATAATAAAAGAAGACTACTTTAAAAGCTATATTAAAGAGAGAGAGAAAAATAAAACTCAAAGAAGAAACTATAAGATAAAAGAAAAGGAAAGAGAGTATAGATTACATATTAGAAGAAAGTATAAATAAAGATTTAACAAAGTGTATAATATCCCTTTCCATTAATGTTAGTAACAGCTAATTATTATGAACATGATAAAAAAAATGGAACTTTTGATTTCTTTAATATAACTATATGATTACTTCTTAAAATAACTATCAAAAATAAATAATTTTTTCTTAAAGTCATTCTTCTCTTTTGATCGAAGCCCAAGAATCAGATGACGAAACAGCGCAGGTTTGTAATTTTATTTATTTTATTGTGATAATTTAAATTTTAATCTTTATCTAAATATTTGTTCTTATAAACAAGCAGAAATGAAGGAGATATTAAAAACTTTACCAAACAACTTCGAAATGAAATATGATCAAGTATTTAATAGCTCGGACAACAAAAGAATCTGGCAACAATTAGTACCGTAATTATTAAGATCATTACGACCTCAATACAACCCTTTGTATAATCAATTGAAGGAGTGGCTCCATGCATTACATAAGCACCAAAGAGACAGTTATATTCTAAGCCAAAAAGGAACTCAAGATCGATCTAACAGATGAGTACACAATAACAATCGCGTAGCAGAGGCATGAAATTCGTTAGTTTTTATAATTTTTAACATTTGTATCTAACATTTTTCATATATATAGAAAAGAGATCGGCGAATAAGAGGTGCATTGGCTTTATTCGATGCGAAAGATCCTCAAGTCTCGAAGTATAATAAAGATGAAATTATGAAATTACTCAGGATTCCAGAATACCATTCATCTGAGGAATCAGAAACAGATCAGAAAAATGATGAAGGAAAACGCCAGATAGTCGTATACAATTATTTCTGGCGTTCAAATGAAGTTTAATAATTGTTATCATTCTTAGTGTATTGGCTTCCTCAAGTACTAATAATAATTCATTTAATTTTTAATTTTCTTCATATAATTTCAATTTAAGAATCTTTTACGAAATGTTTTCGAAAAGCATGTATTGTTACAACAATTAGCTCAGCTGACGAGACCTCAAATTTATGATGAAATTCGTTTCTGCAAAAATGTACTACCGTCAAAAAATGCGCCAAGTTGGGCTTGTAGGCAACAAGCATTTCCACAAGATGAAATTATATGACAAAGAGCTACCGATGGTTATGACCGTTCGCTTGATTATAGTACTGAAGAAGAACATATATATGGTGAATCTTCAATAACCGGTATGATAAGAGGAGTGATTTTACAAAATGAACAAGACAAAGACGTTCTACAATATGACGATATTCCACGATATGATAACGCTCCACAAGGCGATGATAATTATGATGACATCCCACAATATTTTACTAATGATGAAGATGTATAATTCTAGACGAACTTTTAATGTTTTTACATATTGCTTTTTATATAATATTTGCGGTCTTTGTACTTTTATGTATTATTTTTACATTTGCATTTTTATTAATAA